TTCAAGGCCATCAATTCATAGGCTCAAAGATCTAGACCTAGAAAGGATTTTAGAGACCTTAGGTCAGGAAATCATAAGCATTTATTAAGCACCTACTATGTATCAGTTGAGGAAAGTGAGACCCAGAGTGATTGGGCCAATGATTTGCCCAAGATCATGCAGGTTATAGGTAGCAAAACCAAGTTTTAAACCCAGGTCCTCTGACTACAAATAGAGCACTCCTTCTACTGCACCATGATAATAACTGAGATCATATTGATATATTTAAATTGCTGTTTATTATTATTGCACAGGGGTAGCTAGGTGGTGTAGTGGATAGAGTGCTGGGCCTGGAGTCAGGAAGACTTATCTTCCTGAATTCAAATTTGGTCTCAGCTACCAGTTGTGTGACCCTGGGCAAGTCATTTAACCCTGTTTTCCTCAGTTTCCTCATCTATAAAATGAGCTAGAGAAGGAAATAGCAAACCACTCTAGTATCTTTTCCAAGAAAACCCTAAACAGGGTCACAAAGAGTCTGACACAACTGAAAAATGACTGAACAACAAAATTATAGCACAGAATTATAAGAGTCTTAAAGTTAAGCAGGGCTCTGGAAGCCCATTGCTAAATTTTCAGTGTGAGTGTTTACACCTTGGAAGTCAGCAAAAGCTACAAGTCAATACTTGATTTATTGTTTTGTTGATCATCTAAACTTAAGAAAGTAATGGAGGAAATGTTAATAATTCAGATTAAACCAAAAAGTATGTCATGAGTATTTTTTTTGAGATCCAGTTGTTGAACATTTGCCATTACACCCCTGCCTAGAGATCACCTCATCTAGCTACAGTTCAGACAAATTTCAGATGTTGGTCACAACTCAGTTTTATTCTTATTCCTTTGAAAAATGTAACATGTTCTATCTGTTGTTGCCTTCGCAAAATAAAATCAATAATGAATGCCAAATTGGGAGAGGCAATGAGATTTACCTGGAATAGAATCTTCAGAACCCTCAAGGAGAGAAGACGATGATGTTTGATGTGTGCAATTTAAACTGCTGTAAAGGAAAACAATTGTTTTTCCCCCTGTTAAGGACAAAGCATTGAAACATCACTAACACAGACAAATAAAAATGTCAACGAGTTGAGGTCTTCTGGATAAGTTGCCATCTCCTGACATGAAGCTAACAGAGTCTAAGATTTATATGTCTCAATTTCTAGCTTAACACCTTTTCCCTTTATGGTTGCTACAAGTTTAATACTGTAGCTGTTAGAACAATGGGGCCATACAAGGGCAGGGACATTATAATAGGGGGCCCAGCTTTGATGGAAAATTTCTCTTTTGGAGTTTTTTTGGGTACAAATCTGTGGTTTTTTAAGTCCAGGAGAGGAAATTCTCCCAATGTAAATTACCAGCTTATAGTCTTAGAGAATAATTTGGGGCCATCGGGAGGTAAAGTGACTTGCCTAGTATCACACAGACAGCATATGTCAGAAGCATGACTCATTTCTGACTCATTTCTTCCTGCTTCTTTTCTGTCCACTGTGCACAGTGCTTCTATGTCCAAAATACTCCTTTAAAACCTGGCAAGGAAAGCTACAATGAAGCTACAAAAAAGGAGAAAAATAAAAGCACTATTTCTTAGCAAAATGGCAGAACTAGGGTCAATGAATAGAAGTCATGGGAGACAGATTTCAGCCCAATATTTAAAATATATATATATATTTATAACAATTAAAACTTCTAAAATGTGATAGATTGCCTCAAAAAGTAGAGAGTTTCTTCTAAATGGGAGTTTCAAACCAGGGCTGGATGACAATAAGTATTTACTAAGTAACTGATTTGTGTTGAGCACCATGAGATATAGATATGAAACCAAAACAATTCCTACCCTCAAGGTGCTCACATTCTGTCAGACAAAAGCAGATGCACACCTTTCAGTATAACCCCTATTTCCAAACATTTCTCACAGAAACTACAGATGTTGTAAAAATATCATCATTGTAGCTTTGAGACCCAAATAGACTGGTGAGAAAAGCAGTGTGTTAGAAATTTGCAAGACAGTTAAGAAATATCTAATTTTGAAGGATTTCTCCTCTGGAGAAGGTATGTGTGTTAGGTTGAGATCTATAAGAATTTTTGAAGGATTAATGGAGAAAACATTTGGGAAGAAGGTGATGTGAAACTTCTCCCTCTTTAGAACTGCCTTAAAGGCATGAAGAAAACATGAAGATATAGAATTTGTGAATAGCTGACCAGTAACGGTGTATTTTGAAAAGACCATTTCCTGTGATTACTAAAGAAAACAGAAAGATGAGGGGCCAATCTAGTTTATTTTCAGAGACACTGAATTTAACCATTGTCCGGAGAAGAATTATAAAGATTCTTAGGAGACTGTGATCAGTGTCTGGAATGAACTGAATGGTGGGAGGCTGTTTCCAGATAAGTGAAGAAAAGTCATCTACTGTTATATTGAGGATTAGAAGTGACTCTGGGTGTGACATGGGTCATAGACAAAGTATTATAAATAATTACTTATGTCTTTGCTTTATTATTGTTTTAATTTGATAATAAATTATATATATATATATATATATTTGGTGATTTAAATATATAATTATAAAGACATAAGAGGAATTACTAATGTAAGCTAATTAATGACACTGGAAAATGTTAACTAATTAATTATAACAATAAAGTTTATTATGAGAAATATATTATCTAAACATACTCTTGGATAACTCTAGAGCTAGGAAGGAAAACAGTAAAATAAAGGAATGAATCAAGTTTCAGGCTAGCTTGGGTGGCTTATGGGTGAATGTGGTCAGATCCCCAAGACCCCATTTAACCTTGCTACATGTATGGGGAATGCTGGGGAGCAGGGAAGTGTCTTTACCTCATGCTACATAAATATAAACAAAATACATATAAAGTACATACAGGATAATTTCAGGGGGAGAAGGCCCTTACATCTGGCCTCATGTAGAAGGTAGCACTTAGGCTGAGCTTTGAAGGAAGCTATGGATTCTAAGAGACAGAGGTGAGGGGGAAGAGCATTCCCGACCCAGGGTTCAGCCTCTGCGAAGGCCCGGGGTGTCAGCAGAAAGAACAGGAAGTTCAGTTTGGCTGGGCTGTAGAATGCATAGCAGAGTGATATTCAATAAGCCTGGAAAGTTAGACTTGGTTTAAGGTGTGAAAGGCTTTAAATGCCAAAAAAAGGAGTTTGTATTTAATCCTAGAGGCATGTTAGAAGCTCCTGGAGCCTATTGAGCAGGGAAGTGGCATGGTCAGACCTCATCATTAGGAATATAATTTTGGCAGCTGTGTAGAGAATGGATTGGAAACCAGTGACCTGAGAAAGGGAGGCCAATTAGGAGTTTACTGCAGTAGTCAAGGCAGCAGTGATAAAGGCCCAAACCTTGTCAGTGATGGTGAAGAGATTTCTGATCACATAAGGGTTGGACTAGTTGACCTTTGAAGTGCTTTTTTTTATTATCTGGTTCTATGGGAACTCCCTTTTTACCCTCCACGTGCAAAGGGAAGGTTATTAACATATTTGATTCCATTTGATTCAGCAAACAATTATTAGGCACCTACTGTGTACAACACACTTTGTTAGGGAACGAGGATATGAAACAGCCCCTGCGCCCAGGAGCCTCTTTGTTAGAGATATATACTTTGTTAGAGATGTATAACATTGATAGAAGTAAGTAAAATGCAAAGTAGTTTGAGAAGGGAGGAAGCAGGACCAAGCACGGCTTGCCAGAGGAGGTGGCAGCAGAACTGAGCCTTAAAGGAAGACAGGCAGATTTGAGACACAGACTGAGAAGGGGTAATATTCTAGGCATTAGAATAATCATGATGTGATATCAAATTGTTTTAAAAGCTCATCACTATTATGAGGCAGCATGGTACAGTGGAAAGAGTGCTGAATTTAAGTTAGAGGCTCTGGGTTCCAGACTCTTCTACGTTCTAGTATGTGACCTTGGGCAAATCACCTAACTTCTCTACACCTCCAGTTCCTCATCTGTAAAATGAAGAGGGGACTGAGAATGAAGTAGGTAATATCTCAGGACCCTGCTAGCTCTAAACCTGTTATCCTATGATTTCCTTCTTTAAAAGAGAATGAATGTTCATAAGAGAACCTTTTACCACTAGTCACAAGTCTATGCTAGAAATTTAATCTCATTCCCCCAATATTACAAAAGCATATCCCTAGAAATGTGTTGGTTGTTTAACAACCAGCTTTCTGGGGAGGAGGGGATTATAAAGGCATGGCATAATTTTAAGTTTAATCTGCATTGTTAACATTTTCTCCATCATTTTCTTAAGTCTAGGCAATCAACAAAATAACAAATCAAATCCTGTTTTGTAAGCATTTTCCAGTTTCCAAAGTGTAAAAGCTCACACTGAAAATTTAACAATTGGCTCTCATAAGTAAGTTGGCTTCAACATACCCTTGCATATTCCCATAGATAAAGTAGAAAGTGCATATGATTACTATGAGAATTTAGGCCACTTATTCTTTTGCGTTTTGATTGGCTGCCACCCTTCTTGCCCTTTGAGACTTGGTAATACCTGGGCCTTAATTGTGATTGGAAATTAGGAAGCTGGTTTCCCATCTCATGCATTCCCCCATTCCATGCAAATACAAATTTGCAGCCAAATCTTGGACAAAGTTATCACATTTTTCATAGAAAAGGGCTTGTTCCTTTTTTTGCCCTTTGGCCTTCCAATGGAACAACTTCATCAGTCAGTCAATCAGCAAGGATTTATTCAGTGCCTACTATGTGGTAGGCATTGTGCTAGGCCCTTGAGACAGAAATGGTTCAGGAGACTTTGACCTCTTACTTTCAGGTTCTTGGAACACTGGGTAACTGGGATTTAATGGATGTATAGAAGGATTGGGTTGGAAGCAATTGTTAAGAAAACTAGGCAACGGCTGTTTTAAAATAGAAATTCATCTACATGACAGGGGCCAAAAGGCCTTAAGCCCTGACCTTGGCTCTTTTTTTTCTCCTTAGGACACGTGCACATAACAGATTTCAACATTGCCGCCATACTGACCAAGGAAATGAAAATCACCACAGTTGCTGGCACCAAACCTTATATGGGTAGGAATTTCTGTGATTATTTAAATGGATATTTCTTGATTATCCCTACTTATAGCTCTTTGTGTTATTTAATGACAACCAGCTGTAGAATATGAATCCTTTCACAAGGTAATCAGTATTACCTTCTTTTTAAAAAAATATTTTTGTTAGCTATTTCCCAATTACATGTTAAAAAATTTTAACTTTAATTTTTAAAAATTAAAATTTAAAATTTAAAAATTCTGAGTTCCAAATTCTCTCCCTCCTTCCTGTTCCTTCTCCACTTCTTGAGAAGGCAAGCAATATATCAATTATACATGTGAAGTCATGAAAGACATATTAGCCATGTTGCAAAAGAAAACAAACAAGCCAGAAAGATAAAGAAAGTTTAAAAAGTATTTTTCAATCTGCATTTGGAGTTTATTAGTTCTTTCTCTGGAGATGGATAACATCTTTGGGTCCTTTAGAATTATCTTGGATCATTGTCTTGATCAGGGGAGCTAAGTCTTTTACAGTTGATCATCTTTACAATATTACTGTTACCGTGTACAATGTAATCCTGGTTCTGCTTACTTCACTTTACATCAGTTCATATAAGTCTTCCAATGTTTTTCTCAAATCATCCTGCTCATCATTTCTTATAGCACAGTAGTATTCCATCACAATCATAACACAACTTGTTCAGCCATTCCCCAATTAATGGACAGTCCCTCAATTTCCAATTCTTTGCCACCACAAAAAAAACTGGAATAAATATTTTTGTTCAGATAGATCTTTTTCCCTTTTCTTTGATCTCTTTGGGTACAGACCTAGTAGCAGTATTGCTGAGTCAAAGGGTATGTACACTTTTATAGCCATTTGGGCATAGTTCCAAATTGTTCTCCAAAATGGTTGGTCTAGTTCAAAACTCTACCAACAGCTCATTTAGTGTCCCAATTTTTCCACATCCTCTCTAGCATTTGTCATCTTCCCTTTCTGTCATGTCAGCCACTGTGATAGGTGTGAGGTGGTATCTCAAAGTTGTTTTAATTTGCATTTCCTTAATCAATAGTGATTTAAAGCATTTTTTAATTTGCCTATTGATAGCTTTGATTTCTTCTGAAAACTGCCTGTTCACATCTTTGACCATTTATCAATTAGATTATATTTTTATAAATTTGGTTCAGTTCTCTTATCTATTTAAGAAATGAAGCCTTTATCAGAGAAACTTGCTGTAAATTTTCTTCTCTGGTTTCCTGTTTTCTTTCTAATTTTGGCTGCATTTGTTTTTTTTGTGAAAATTTTGTTTTAAATTTCATGTGATCAAAACTACCCATTTTACTTTCCATGATCCTCTCTATCGCTTGTTTGCTCATAAACTCTTCCCTAATCCATAGAACTGACAGGTAAAATTTTCCATGCTCCCTTAATTTTCTTATGATATCACCCTTTATGTCTAAATCATTTATCCATTTTGACCTTATCCTGGTATATGGTGTAAGGTGTTGGTCTGTGCCTAGTTTCTGCCAAACAGCTTTCTAGTTTTTTCAGAAGTTTTCGTCAAATGGTGAATTTTTACCCCCAAAGCCTGAATCTTTATCAAACACTAGATTACTATGGCCATTTACCACAGTATATTGTGTACCTACCCTGTTCTATTGATCCACCACTCTATTTCTTAGTTAGTACCAGATTATTTTCATAGTAACTGCTTTGGAATATAGTTTGAAGTCTGGTACTGCTAGGCCAACTTCTTTCACATATTGTTACCTTCTTGAAGTGCAGTGTAACATCTCTATGATTGGTTCAGGCATACTGTCAATTAATAAGCATTTATTAGAGACGTATTGTATGCCCAGAGCTGTGTTAGAAACTGATAATACAAAGACAAAAAATAAATAGTCTATGTCCTCAAGGAACTTAGATTCCATTGAAGGAAACACCATTTAAGTATATGCAAATAGATACAAAGTAATTTATGGTGAGAAAACACAAGCAGTTGGATGGATCAGGACAAGCTTCTTGTAGAGGGTGATGCTTGAACTGAGCTTTGAAGGAAATTAGAGATTCCAAGAGGTGAAAGCAAAGAGGGAATGCAGTGTAGGCGTGGGACACAGCCAATGCAAAGGCACAGCAGTGGGAGATGGAGTGATGGGTGTCAGGAATAGTAGGAAACCCTGTTTGCTTGGCTTATAGAGTATGAGAAGGCATATAATGTACAAGACTGGAAAGGTAGCAAGATTAGAACCAGGTTATAAAGGGCTTTAAATGCCAGATGGGCAAATTCACCCTTTAAAAAACTTTCTCCCTCCTCCCCTACCTTTTTAAAATAGTCACAATATTGTTTCTTGGATTACTGGATTATAGTCAATAGAAAAACTTCTTTAAATGTCCTTGATTTTATGTAGTGTAGTGGAAACAATGCAGCTGGAGTCAGGAGAGACTTGGGATTGAATTCTGCCTCTCTAGAGCCAGAATTAATAGCTCTGGAAAGCTGAACAAATTACTTAACTTCTCTGAGACTCAGTTTCCCCATTCATAAAATGGGGATAATAATACCTGTAGTAGCTAACTCAGAGTTTTTGGGAGAAGCAAATAAGATAGTGTATGTAAAACTTATTTTAAGCCTTAAAGTGCTATATAAATGTTGGCTATTATAATTATGATCCTTATCCCTTGATTTTAAAAAATAGCTAAAAATCCTGGGAGGCTAATAAACAGAAAAGACTGGCAGGAAAATAAATGTGAACCTGGGTTCAGATGAGCTAATGTTTGTAAAGCGTACTTTATAAATGACAAAGTTTTGCATAAATGCCAGTCATCCTTATTATGACCATTATTTTTATTATCTTGGCAAGGACATAGAGCCAGATATTTGCAACGCAGAAGGTCCTGGCAGTAACTGAGGAAGAGAACAAGTAGTTGGGACCTGTGGGTAGCAGGGTCAGCGGTAAAAGCTAAGTGGTGGTTTGGAGCTGACCTCTCTAATGAAATGGCCTGACCTGCCAATGGTCCCCGAGTCCTGATCCAATAGGTTGTCATTTTGGTTCACAGAGATCATCTGAAGAATTTTAAGAAACACTAGCATAAACACTCCCTGCCAAGGCAGACACTTGTATAGAAATCACGTGGGTGCCTTATAATGACGTCAGTCCCCAGCTTATGAAAATCATGATATCATTGTGGGCACCAGCCGGAGATAATTTGCATGTGTGCTGCTGCTTCCCCCGAAGGACTGTCACCTCCGTTCCATAGCTCCATCGTTCTCTTTTTCTCCTCTGAGAATCTTCTTGTCAGTCACATAAGCAGTGATTAGGCCTTGGCAGAGAAAACTCATAGCAGCCAAATTCAGGGAAGATTATTTGTTCAATTGAATGTCAGGTTACTAAATGACAGCAGGACCTGTGCCTATCTAACCTTGTGCACCAGCAGTCAGCAGGGCACTGGACGGCGGCATTAGACTCTCTTACCAAGGCAAGGAATTAATTTGAGGTATGTCTGGTAAGACAGAAATAATTTTTTTTTTTTTACTTGGACTGGGATTCTATTGGCACAGGTCAGTCACAATGAGGAAACTTCCTCTGCTCTTTCAGAATAGCAATTGTTCTGCAATTGTAATCTTAGAAGTTAAGTGGTTTGTCTGGGCCATGCAGCTAATATTTTTCAAAGGAAGGACTTGAATCCAGGACTTCCTGATTCCAAGTTCAGATCTATATATCCACCATGAGATGCTGCCTCTGATAATGAGGATGATGATGATGAAGAAAATTACCATTGTCATCATCATTACCTAAACATAACATGGACCCATACGAACTCTAAAACCATATTTCTAATAGATGTCACCATATTGAATATTCATAATCTCCAAACTTCATAGAGTGAAAAGCTTTCAAAATAGAGACTTAGTAGAATAAATTAAAGCCATGTGGAAACAGAATGAGGTACATGTCATCCTGATGGCCTTTCTACTACTGGAGACCTACTGAAAATGCTTACTATGAGATTGCAGAGGATTAATTTATATCCTAGTACTTTTCTTCAACTACAAAAAGCAATTATTTTATTTATCTGTGCAATAGTCTATAGAATGTTAAATATACAAAAGAATAATAACAGCTACCATGTTACAGGAGAGACTTGAACTCTGGTTTTCCTAATTTAGAGACCAACTCTCTGAATGCTCCACCACACTGGCATAGTAACCCAGGCAAAAACAAGAAGTCAAAAGAGTGGACTTTTGTTCAAGAAATATGGGTGTGGCACTGGGATTATGTTTTCACTGAAGTATTATCTAAGATTCCTTCTCTAACTTCAGTCCTGTAGAAAAAAAAGACAAGAAATGCCACTTTTTTTCAAAAGTAAGTTAGATAGATATTGCATTTAAACTAAGCAACAAAAAAAGAGACTTTCTCTTCAACCTTCTCACCATGGAAACCAGACCCAGACCTTAGAATGATGAAAACCTTAGAGACACATGTCACTCCTGAAAATGACAGTTTGAAATGTAGCAAACGTGAGCAAATGGGCTTCTCAGACCTCTTTATTCCTCTTTTTTTAACTATTATTATTTGAGCACTAGTCTAAGACAGAAATAGGCTGCTTACATATATTCACTTGTTTCAACCATGACAAAAAAGGATTTATTTCATCACCTGGTATTTGGAAGCTGTGATTTGGTGGGTTCTGAAGTTCCATAAAATGAGACTCATTCTTCTCTTATAAAATTATCTTTCTAGCTGCTCTGGGGAATGGGACCATTTGTTAGTGCCCTTTCTGTCTCTCTCTTTCTCTCTCTCTCTCTCTTCCCCTGTCTGTCTCTCTCTCTCTTCCTCTCTGTCTCTATCTCTCTTTCTTTCTGTCTCTCTTTTCCCCCCTTTCTCCTCCCTCTCTCTCCTCTTCCTCTCCTTCCTCTTCTTTTTCCCTCTACCTCCTCCTCTTTCTCACCCTATCTCTCCCTCCTTCTCTCCCTCCCTCCCTCCTTTCATCCCTCCTTCTCTTTCCTCCTCTCCTTTTTTCTCTCACCCCCATAGGTAAATAAAGTACTGAAGGGAATAAATGAAATATCACTAGGGAAGCATACCTCTTGGGTCAACAGTAAAATCTTTTCCCTATGGCTCACTGTGCAGTCCACTCCTCTTCATTCATTACCCAGGCATGGCCTCTGCCCCTTTTCCCAGTCCCCAACTCCCTGTCCACAGGTTTTTTGTTGTTGTTCAGTCGTGTCTGATTCTTTGTGACCCATTTGGGGTTTTCTTGGCAAAGATACTAGAGTGGTTTGGCATTTCCTTCTCCAGCTCATTTTATAAGTAAGGAAACTGAGGCAAACAGGGTTAAATGATTTGCTAATGGTTAAACAGCAATTAAGTGTCTGAGATTGAATTTGAACTCAGGTCTTCCTGACTCCAGGCCCGGAGATCTGTTCAGGGCACCACATAGCTCCCTACTCACAAGTTAATCCAGGGTATATTATCTATCTCTGCATTATTTTTGCAAATGTTAAGCATTAGTTGTTGAGGTGAATTGCTTGGAGATCCTCCAATAAAACTGCAGCATGGATGCTGGCAAGGTTCCAGCCTCGGCATATTTTACATAAATGCAAAAATGACAAAGTCAGGAGGAGAACAAAGCTCTTGACACTGGAATCTGAGAGAAAAGGCCACAGGAGATGTCCCCAAGAATAGGGACTTGCTCTGCCTGAGACTGTTTCTGGCGAAGATAAGCCGACCAGCAGAATAGGAGGTCCTTATTTCATTCTTTGAGTATCTGCTAATGACATCAGTATGTTTACTCCCTCTGCCAACACAGATCACAGCCCAGCCGTAATTTGGTAAACGGTCTTTAAGAGTTTTTGTGGAGGAAAAAAATCATCACTTGGAGAACAACCAGGTGATAAACTTTTAAAGCTCAGCTTGTCTGATCCTCAGCCAACAGACATGCAGGTTATTATTAAGAGATGATGCAGAATAAAAAGTGTAGCAAAATGCAGTGAACTCGAGTCAGAAGACATGGGTTCAAATCCTAGCTCTGCCACTTACATACTATCTGTGTGAGCTTGGCAAAGGCATTTACCTTCTCTGGGCCTCAGTTTCCTCATCTGTAAAAGGAGGAGGCTGAACGAGATAGACGGCTGCTAATGTCCCTTCTCGCTCTAAGTCTATGATCCTAGTAAGCCCCTACTATGTGAATATTATAATCATGACAAAAAGTTGCATAGACTTATTCCTGTCAGTCATCCTAATTCCTTATAGCATGATGTAGCAGATAAAACATTGATATTTGAGTCAGAAAGACTTAGGTTAGAATCCTATCACAGATACTTATTTGCTTTGGGATCTTGGGAAAGCCACTTGTTCTCACTCTACCTCAGTTTCCTCATCTGTAAAATAAGAATAATAATAGTATATAGTTCATAAGGTTATTGTGAGGATTTCATGTGAGGCCTAGGAGAATCCATGCGAACCTTAAAGTGCTTATATAAATATGAACTACTATTGTTATCTCATTTTAATTTTTCTTTTCAATGCAGTTCACATAGTCCTGGAGAAATTCCTCATTAGCCCTATTTCCCCCATCTTATGCAGAAGCTAGGTAAGGAGTTTTTAAAATCTTGGCCTTGGTGGAAGGCATCATAGCTTTTTGCTTTGCATTTTTACTTTTGCAGTTTAGAGAAGGAAAGTTCACATACATCTATCATCAAACAGACATTGTGTGGCAAACCCCAGTACCCTTTATCTTGACGGAAATAACAGTTGTTCAGAAATTATCTAGAACATTGTCTCCAAAGACCACTTGTAATATGAGGGTTATAAAAGTACCTATATTGCAGGGTTGTTAGGGGATCGAATGAAATACTGAGCCTAAATAAAGTGCTTTGTAAACTTTAGAGAAGAAAAATCTCTCTAGAAAACAAAATAAGTCTGAACAAACTCAGCTACAAGTGCTGAATGAGGAACATGTATAAAAACCAGCCACCTATAGTGAATATTGTGTACAGTAACAGCAATATTGTTTCATGAATGACTTTTAGTGAATAAGTTATTTTTAAATTTTTTTATTAATTTATTTATTTTTAGTTTTCAACATTCACTTCCACAAGATCTTGAGTTCCAAACTTTCTCCCCATCTCTTCTCTCCCTCCCCACCAAGACGATATGCATTCTGAATACCCCTTCCCCCAATCTGCTTTCCCTTCTATCACCACTCCCTTCTCTTATGCTCTTTCTGTTTTCTTGTAGGTCAGGATAGATTTCTGTACCTTATTGCCTGTATATCTTATTTCCCAGTTGTATGTAAAAACAATTTTTAACATTCGTTTTTAAAACTTTGAGTTCCAAATTCTCTCCCTTCCTCCCTCCTCACTTACCCTCATTGAGAATTCAATATAACTTATACATGTGTAGTCATGCAAAACACTTCCATAATAGTCATGTTGTGAAAGACTAACTATATTTCCCTCCATCCTATCCTGCCCCCCGTTTATTCTATTCTCTCCTTTGACCCTGTCCCTCCTCAAAAGTGTCTGCTTCTGATTACCCTGTCCCCCAATTTGCCCTCCCTTCTAGTATCCCCTCTCTCTTATACCCTTCTCCCCTATTTTCCTGTAGGGTAGGAAAGATTTCTATACCCAATTGAGTATGCATGTTATTCCTTCCTTAAACCAAATCTGATGAGAGTAAGATTCACTCATTCCCTCTCACCTCTCCCCTCTTCCCCTCCACTGTAAAAACTTTTTCTTGCCTCTTTTATGTGAGATAATTTACTCCATTCTATCTCTCCCTTTCTCCTTCTCCCAGTATAATCCTCTCTCACCCCTTAACTTTATTTTTTAGATATCATCCCTTCATATTCCACTCATCCTATGCCCTCTGTCTATATATATTCCCTACAACTACCCTAATACTAAGAAAGGTCTCATGAGTTACAAATAACCATCTTTCCATGGAGGAATGTAAACAGTTCAACTTTAATAAGTTCCTTATGATTCCTCTTTCCTGTTTACCTTTTCATGCTTCTCTTGAGTCTTGTATTTGAAAGTAAAATTTTCTGTTCAGCTCTGGTCTTTTCATCAAGAATGTTTGAAAGTCTTCTGTCTCATTGAATGTCAATTTTTCCCTGAGAGAGTATACTGAGTTTTGCTGGGTAAATGATTCTTGGTTTTAATCCTAGCTCCTTTGACCTCCAGAATATTATATTCCAAGCCCTCTGATCCCTTAATGTAGAAGCTGCTAAATCTTGTGTTATTCTACTTGTGTTTCCATAATACCTGAATTGTTTCTTTCTGGCTACTTGCAGTATTTTCTTCTTGACCTGGGAACTCTGGAATTTGGCTATAATATTCCTAGAAGTTTTCCTTTTGGGATCTCTTTCAGGAGGTGATCAGTGCACTGTCTGTGGGCTGAGAGCTCCACAAGCAACTGCTGCCCCAGGGCTGTGCTAGGGCTAGGGCCAAACCCCTCTCCTCTCTCACCGAGGTCTGACAGACCTTTCCTACTGACCTTCTAAGTTGTCTTTGGCATTTGTGGGTTGAGAAATCTGTAAACCACCAAAGCTGCCAGTAATTCATTCCCCTGAGCCCTGCTTCAGATTCATCTTTGCCTGTGCAGCCCATACTGAACTGTACTCCTCTCCCAGTCCAGCACAACAGACCTTTCCAATCAACCATCCAGGTTGTCTTGGGCTGGAAATTTGTTTCATTCTGTCTTTTTGTGGGTTCTGCTGCTCTAGCATTTGTTTAGAGTCATTTTTACAGGTATTTGGAGGGGTTTAGGGGAGAGTTCAAGCAAGTCACTGCTTTTACTCTGCCATCTTCGCTCCACCCCCTGTGAATAAGTTATTTTGCTATTATAAATACCCAAATTAACTATAAAGGACATATGAAGAAAGATACCATCTGCATCTAGTGAAAGAACTGATAAATAGATGTATAAAATAATTATATATGTATATGTGTGAATATACAAACACATATACATATATCTATTTGTGTCTAATGGTAGCCATCTCTAGGTGGGGTGTGGCAAAGAAAAAAAAGAATATTTGCAGATAATTTTATAGTATATTTGAAAGGAATAGCAAGTTGTATATAGTAAATCTGCAGTTCCATGTATGGTCATCTTTTTTATTGTATTATGGAAAGGCTTGTTTTATTCCATAAATTAAAAATAAAATTTTAAAAAATCAGTCACCTATAAAAATCAGATCCCTACAGTAATCAAACATGAACAAAAACATGATCAAAATAGCTTCAAAAAACTCAGTTTGCCTAGCACAGAATAAGGCACTGAAGAGTACACCCATATCCAGGGCTGATTTCCAGTTTTCAATTCTCTTCCATCCTAGTCCCTTGGAGCCCCAATATCCTCATCTCTAGAATGGAGACAGTGATACTTGACTCCCTACCTTACAGTGTTGTTTCAAGAAAAGCTCTTTGTAAACCTTAAAGTGCTACATAAAACGTGAAGCACTTCCCCTATTATTTCTCTGCTAAAGTCCCCTGGTGCTTCAGCAAGGTGTCCTGGGTTCTCAAAGGCTATGTCAGTGGAGCATAAGCTCTGGCTGGTCCTACCAACCTAGAAATTTTTCTAGTGTGAGCCCAGTGATGTTTGAGGTTAGCCACTGCAATTCACGAAGACTATATCACAATCTGCATTGACAGAGAGCAATAAAATCAGGGACTTATGAGATGATGGTAATCTGTGTTCCCCTTGGCTGCTCCTACACATTGAGGTTGGGGACAATGCCAACCTATAGCCAGAACAAAAGCTTTTATGTATATTCAGGGGGGAAAACTAGCAAAAGAAAATTGGGTGGGGGAAATGGCAATACTTCTGAACAGAAGGACAGAATCTTGCCTATGTCTAAGGACATTCTCTTTCCATGAAGGTAAACTTGACACACACAGCAGTATCGATGGAGGTATTCATTTATCAAGGACCTAAAAGTAAACATTAGCCCCAGTTTTCTGTATCTTCCAGCCCCTGAGATGTTCAACTCAAGAAGACAAACAGGATACTCCTTTGCTGTTGACTGGTGGTCCCTGGGAGTGACTGCTTATGAGCTGCTGAGAGGCCGGGTATGGTAAAATTTTATTCCCATTTGTTTCATGTCACAATATGTTGTATTTTAGAAGAAAAAGATGGATCAACCTGCAATAACTCAGTATATCTCCAAGTTCTGCCTCCTCCACATCCTTTTTTTTTTTAATTGACAGCAAAATATCAGTCCTGGTGGCCCAATGAAGAATCTGTGTGATTTCAGTGCAGATTAATTCCCTGTCACTCAGCATGGGGCTCAGAATGTTAGTTAACATTAAATTAAGCACCAGAAATTGAAGGAGCAATTTGAATAATAGAAATCTCCCAAGTGGTGACTGCAGTACTATTCATTAAGTAACTCATGTAAATATATTTGTATGTTTGAAGAAAGTCATTTTGCAATCACAACATGACATACTAGTTGAGAAACTACCCGCTACAGCAGGTGTGAATTATTAATACAACACCATTCATGCCCTGTCATGTTGAATTCCTTACTGGTACTCAATTGTGAGTTCTGGGTTCAGGGGCAAAATAGAGTTATCTCCCTGGAAACAAATTTCTTTTTTGCACTAATGGAAAGAGTCTTCTTTTCTTTTCTTTCCTTTTTTTTTGGAGCCAAATTAAAGTGACTATTGATTTTCTACTAATAATTCATTTCATTCAGAGGAGTGCTTCCGAACATTTTCTCGCACTCCTTTTGATGACCATTGCCAAAGGGTGTATGGAGGAGAGAAAGTAAAGGGGGGTACCAACAAGAAAAAAAGCAGGCGGATGAATGAAAGCACCTCTGATATTGTGATTCCCTGGTGATTGGAACACATCGACTGGGAAATACCAATTAAAAGTCCTTAGTGCAGTTTTGGGTATCTCATTTTGAGAATTTTGTGGCATCCTAGTAGGAAGAAAGGAGATTGGAAGGAGATGGGGGGAGGGGAGTCAGGAGAGTGAAATAGAAGAATTGAGAATAGGATTAGACTTCTGGATACCATGGCACATAGCAGAGATAAAAGAATTCAGACCTGGCCCAAGGGTTATGGAAAGACTCTTTTAACAAGAAGGGCCCAAGTATATATTTTGTGTAATTTCTCACTTCTGTGATCTACATGTGCCACCGTGATGTCAGGTCCTCTGGATGAGCTCCTGCTTATCAATGTTCTTTCTAAAATGTGCTCCCTAGAAGTGAACACAATTCTCCAGATGTCTTCTTATCAGGGCAGAGAACAACAGGCCTATCATCTCCATAGTCCTGGTAATTACATCTTTCTTAATGGAACCTATGATTTTGTTCACTGTTTTGATTACCATATTATGCTAATGACTCATATTGAGACTTTGTTGTTGTTCAGTCATTTCAGTCATGTCTGACTCTTTATGAGTCCATTTGGGTTTTTGTGGCAAAGATACTGGGTGGCTTGTCATTTCCTTCTCCAACTCATTTTACAAATGAGGAAACTGAGGCAAATGAGATTAGGGTTAAGTGACTTGCCCAGGATTACACAGCTAGTAAATGTTGGAGATCAGATTTGAACTCAGGTCTTCCTGACTCCAGGCCCAGCACTCTATCCACCATACACCTAGCTGCTCAATTGAGCCTACCATCCACTAAAATCCCTAGGTCTTTTTTCAGGTAAACTGCTTTTTAACCATATCACTTTGAGTGACATTTTTGCTTTATAAAATAATTCATTGGATCCTAATGTGCTAGTAGCACAAATGTATTGGTGAGACTGTGATCTCGAATGAGAAAAGATTATTATAAAAATATTGGAAAATCTGTTTCATTTCATGTGGATTTATTGTCCCTCTTACAGCTTCATCGATGACTGCTCTTCACCTGATTTCACTTGGTTGGATCTCATGCCAAACTTTTTGCAGACATATTTTTCTACTATTTCTTTAATGCTTTGCCCAGCAATACTTCTTATAATTTTCCATTGGCCTCCTCTGCAGTGTTTTGACTATGAGTTTATATTATAAATCATTTTATAGCTCTTTGCTACCAGGTCACCTCAAACTGAAAGGAATTATCATATTTAATGACCAAAGTGGTTCCCAGGGATTGTTTTACCTTCTTATAGTGGTTATTATTTTAATTGGTTGGCCACTGGATTTTAATCCCAGCATTGCCACTTATCACCTGTTTAATTTTGGGCAAATTATTTAACCTCTCTGGGCCTTAGTTTCTTCATTTGTAAAGTTAGGGAGTTGTACTAGATAGCCTCAAAGGCCCCTTTCAGCTCTAAATCGATGATCTTAAGAATTTGCAATAATTAGAGTCTGTGTCTTTGCTTTTAATTGTTATTTTTCAGAGTCCATAGCTTATTTAAATAGGTCAACAGGGAGTGTTGCAAGTGCATACAGTATTTTTGCCTCATTTTTTTCTTTCTTTTTCTTTTGCATTAATTTTGACCTTTGCTCTAACCAGGTCCTCCAGTAAAGCATTAACTTTTCGGGTAAAGATCATCTATTTAGTGTACCAACACTTAATTTAATATTTATAAAGTCTAAAAATTATGTGATTCTCTATACATACTCTGTATAAAAATTGTATGTACATAGTTGTTGATATATTTTCTCCTCCACTAGATTGTGAGATACTTGAGGGCAAGGAATTTTTTTGTCTTTTTTTTTAATCTCCAGCACTTAGCAAAGTGCCTTACACATGACAGGCACTTAATAAATGCTTGTTGACTTGACCCAATTGTCATATTTGGTATCTGGCCCCAGACCTCCCCTTGCATGGTGATACTGTGAAATCTACCTCAGCCTTGGGAGGAAGAGACCATGGTCACCATGGGCAATTGGGTGTTGATTGTTATTGGACTTGGGACACTACACTGGTGAAAATAAATTAATCTGAATCATTTTAGTAAATAGAAAAAAAGAGGTGAGTGTATCTTAACCTGCCTAATTAAAGGATAGCTATAAACATTCAAGTGGGTTCATCTCATAAATGCCTCTCTGGGAGTGTAACAAATTTTTGGTACTAGTTCCCAGGCTTTGGATTTTTTTTGTCCTCTCTGCCTTAACTTCAGTAGAACCAGTCCTTAGAGTAACCTGTTCCATGTGTTGGCCCAGAACTGGAAGTGAAGATTCTGGGGACAACTTGATGACAATATTATGACTTCTCCCCACCAAGTGGAAAGTATCTCAGTAGCCAAATCCATGACCTATGTCTGCCAGCTTTTCAGAATTTACAAGTAGAGTCATACTCTTTGAGGTGTCTTTCAGTAATTACTTGTTGAGCTTATATGAACTCAATGAATAATTATTTATTTATTAGGTTTTTATTATGTAACTTACATTAAAAATCACACACTCATAAAACATTAATGCAAGCCAGAAAACAGTTAAAAATGTATTTGTATTGGCCAGCTTACTGGCCAATAAATAAGCTTACTTATAAAATAAGTCTAGAATTATTAAAGCAATTTTGAACAAATTTTATAAACTGATTATAAACACTTTTTGTATTAAAGGCCTCTAAATACATCTTTTAACATTTTTATGAGATGTGCTTAGTTCTACTATTTGCTGATTGTTTATATATACTAATGGAAAAGAGAAAAGGTAAAGCTAATGCAGAAAAGATAATCCCAAATTACATATATTTGACATTAATTTAATTTGGATAGGCATAGCACACTTGATGTCTAGCACTAAACCCTTCTCTGTATCACCTCACTGTTAGGAATTATGCCTTAGCTGCGCCTTGAGAAAAGGGCACTCTAGTCCAGGGGTTCTTAACCTGGGGTCAATGAACTCATTTTAAAAGATTTTTTGATAAATATATTTCAATATAATTGGTATTATTTGTAATTCTGTGTATTACATTTTATGCATTTTTAGACATAATTCTGAGAAGGGTTCCATAGGCTTCATCATACCGCCAGAGGAGTCTATCCCACAAAAAAAGTTTAAGAATCCCTTCTCTAGGTCACTTAGAGTAATTAAAAATGACTGATTGATCTTGAGATTCTAATGGGGAAAAAAATTACTTCAGCCATAAAAATCAATAGAATAGAACAAGCAGGGAAACAAATTATATTACCAAACTTCTTTTGATAAATTCTAGAAGACAATGGAGACATGATAGTTGCCTTCAAATAGCTGAAGGACTATTGTCTGGAAGAGGGCTTATGTTTCCTCTGTTTCTGAGAACAGGACCAGGACTGGTAGGGTTGGCGAGAAGGAAGCCACTTACAGGGAGGCACATTTCAGCTCCAGCTTAAGACAGAACTCTGGTAACGAGAGCTGTCTGAAGGTGGAATGATGTGTCCTGTGAAGTAGTGAGTTCCCAGGGCAAATGGCCACCTGTCAGGAATGCCTTTAGAAGGGAATCCTGCATGGGGGTGAAGAAGGGGATTAGACTTGGTGACCTCTGAGCTCTTTTCCAGATCTAGGATTTTGCAGTTCTAAGCCATAAAATAGTATTTTGAAAAGTATGCTCAGCTAAGAAAGAACAAAGTATCAACCATTTATGAAAAATTATCAACACTGCCCAATCTTACAGAGAGGGTGTTAAGTAATCACTTTGGCATTTACAAGTTATTATTTGAATAGAAACACAGGTTTCAAAGAGGGGATGAACTTGAACATGTTCCCTTGAGTCCTAAGCTTAATCATAGCTGTTGTCAAATGTGACCTTTTGTAGTTAAACTCTGCCTTCTCTAGACTCGATGCTGCTGCCCCCCTCTCTCCAAGGTACCCCTACCATAGCCATCAATTTCTTATAAATTGGTTCATTTCCAATCACATTTCTGTTCCATTTTGTGCTCTTTAAATTTCTTTTGTTGTTGTTGTTGTTGTTATTGTTTATGAACATGACATAGGACACTAGCCAATTAAATTGCTCCCAGTTTAACACCTAAAAATTGCTACCACCTGACACTTGAAACTATGGGAGGGGACAGTAGCCAATAGGAATGAGTGGTCAGTAATTCCAAAAACTGAAGAGACATGAAAGAGGAGGACTTAAATAAGACCATTGGATGTGGCAATTAGGTTAGCATTAGTGGCCTGAAAGAGAACGCTT